GGAAATTCGAATCCGCGACCCTCAGATTGCGAGTCGAGCGCCTTATCCATCTGGCCTTGCCGGGCCTAAATGTTTTGTGAAGCGAAAGTTAAACTATTATCATTATGTTGTTAAAAATGTATCAACTTTAAAGGGCTTCGTTCCATCACAAATATTGTTCATATTGTAAACATTGACCGAAAAATCAAAGACATTTCCAATATTACGGTTTGTCTCCCACTGGCACAGCGGCATGTCTGTGGACTTACAACGCTAGAAACTGGGTTTCGATACCCGTGGTGGGCACAGCACAGATAGTCCATTGTGTAGCTTTGTGCTTAACTTCAAACACACAAACAAATATTATGGTTTAGTGATATGTTTGATAATTACACAGGCCTGCGAATTTACAGTTCATAAAAGTTGTTTTGGTTTTAATAACGATTTTTCATAATTCAGCTACGCAGGTTTCAAAAATAATATTAGTTTTTTTTTCTGTCACGTAAGGATTTTTTTTTTTAGAAATCGGGAAGAAAACAAAGCTCTTACTTAGATCAAATTATTATTTCGTTTACCAAAATGAACATTTTTGTTATTATATTTATTAACAAAAATACAAACAAACTGAAGAAAAGGGAAGAACATTGATGTCAAACGAATATGCATTTTCCTTCATTTTGATTTTTTTTGTGAAATCTAGGTCTTTTAGTCTCAAAACTACGTGTTGTGGTCTTTCTTTTATGTATTGAATTATGACGCTTTGTGAAAAAAATCTGTACGTGATGGAGAAAAATGAACATCATTTTCGGATTCAGCGTACAGGAATTACTGCAGAACATGTAAATGTTTCAAGACAATAAAACCATCGCAGGCCTGTGTTAACAATAAAACCATCGCAGGCTTGTGTTAACAATAAACTCATCGCAGGCCTGTGTTAACAATAAAACCATCGCAAGCCTGTGTTAACAATAGAATCGCAGGCCTGAGTTATCTGTGCTGTAAGTAAAAAAGTATTATCACGTTTGACTAACTGACGTTTTCAGATTAGATTATCAATATTTGGACACCTGTAATGTAATTATAAGAACCTACTGGTGAAAGTAAGACAGAATGAAACATTTACGTGTTAAACACATTACATCTGCTATATCCAGTGCCAAAGAGCCTCCCCCCCCCCTAATACCAGGGCTCTTCAGGTAGCCTTGGATACGAAAGACACAAAAAAGAGGTTAAGACGTTATGTATATTAGCAAACCGCTTGACAACAACTGTTATAGAGCTAACTAGATCTAAGTTGGTGAATTGTAATATCTCATCAATATTTATTTATGTCACAACCCAATATTCTAGAACTTTACAGTTTTATGAACACTACTAGTATAATTTGTATACTTCGTTATCGAATGCAACACTCCACGTTGGCAAAGATAACTATTTAATTGTTTTCGTGAATTATATGAGATTACAAAACAAAGCGATGTACGGATAAAAGTAGATTTCATGTGACTGTTCAGTTTGGAGTTAAGTAGCTATCTTTTGATACTTATTGTTACCTCACTAGTCTAATCAGAAACTATCAGACTACTCCACGATTTTGGTGAAATACAAGTAACACTATTACGAGACATTTCAATCTTGACAACAGCGCGAGTTCAGTTAAATTGCATTCGCGGAGTATATTGAGATTGACTTTTTCAGCTAAAATAACTAAAAGTCTGATTTCCTGACCTAGTGTGGACAGCACTGTGTGACGATGATGGACAAAAACAAATTGTCCCTTTGAATTAAGCCATTAATTGCAGTTGTATCTCGAAATATATCTCTTGAGAAGTTTACAAGTATTAATCGGTTGATATCACCACAGAATTAATCGCCTGATATCATCACGTCTATAAAAACTGGTAAGTGAACAACGTTATATATTTAAAACACAATAATCGCATAAAATTAGCAAAAATAGTCAGTAGAACTGTTAAAAAATTGGAGATAACTACGAAAATTAGTGCGCTTATGGTAAACATAGCTTTATAGCACACAAACTTTCATTAACTTCCACTACCCCCCTCCCCCCCAGTGGCGCAGCGGTATGTCTATGGACTTACAACGCTAGAAACTGGGTTTCGATACCTGTGGTGGGCAGAACACAGATAGCCCATTGTGTAGCTTTGTGCTTAATTACAAACGAAAGGTTCCACTAAAAAAATTACAACATTGTTATCAGATGATAATATATTATATATATAATTTGTTTTATATTTTAAAGTATTAAAGAAAGTGAAATTACAGTACATATTTGCCAGGTGGTTAGGACGCTCGACTCGCAATCTGAGGGTTGCGGGTTCGAATCCCCGTCACACAAGACATGCTCGCCCTTTCAGCCGTGGGGGCGTTATAATGTGACCTGTCAATCCCACTATTCGTTGGTAAAAGAGTAGCCCAAGAGTTGGCGGTGGGTGGTGATGACTAGCTGCCTTCCCTCTAGTCTTACACTGCTAAATTAGGGACGGCTAGCGCAGATAGCTCTCGTGTAGCTTTGCGCGAAATTCAAAACAAACAAACAGTACATATTACAGTTGATAAAACGATAATTCAGAAATCTTTCCCAACTAATTTTTAAATTAATAGCTGTTTGGTTTCAAAAATCCGTGGTAAGAAATCAAACGTTTGTTTTTTTTTCAAAGAAACGTATTTTGAAAATGGTATTTATTTTCCAATGTTTAGCGTTGATTATGATGACTTTTAATTCTGGTTAAGTTCTCGAAACATTTGCTACTATTTGAACTCAGTCAATCATGGTATTCAATTTATTCTTGAGCCTTACAAGCTTGGATGCTTTATTAGTTTTTCAATGATAAATCAAATGTTCTACATTGTAGCACGTGCTTATGAACAACCTAGTTATTTCCCGTCACTACTCTTAGAAACCATTCTAAGCATATTAAGTTGAATATTCCCCAGTATAAAATCATAAATAATATTCAACGTTAAACTGGTACACAATTAAAAACATTGTAAAGTCGAAACATGTAGAGTCGTCAA